CAATCTTATCAAATCCACTAGAATCAATCGTGCTTCTTTTGTGGAGATTTGATCAAGCTGTGCCCTCCTTGAAGCAAAATCCGGGTCGGCCCAGTCAGTTTCAAATGAATGAAAAGGCCAATGTGCAGTGGGAGTAAGGGGCATGGAATGCAAATGCCCTATCTCGTTAAAGGTTAAAGCCTGCTAGAACATGATTGGTATTGTATTGATTCAGTACGTCGTAGTATGTGGTCCCAGTTAGAATTTTGATCTGAGTATATGACTATACTTTACAAAAACAACACAAAACAAAGAAAAAACAAACAGAAACAAAACAAAACAAATACTCCTAACAAAACAACAAGAAAACAAACCGCTCGACTCGTGTGTGTGTGTGTGTGTGTGTGTGTGTGTGTGTGTGTGTGTGTGTGTGTGTGTGTGTTTGTGTTTGAATGTGTGTTTATATTTGAGTATGTGTCTGAGTGTGTGAGTGAGTGTGAGTGAGTGTGTTTGTATGTATAACATATTCGTGTGTTTAAGTAAATGTTTGTGTGTTTGTGAGTGTAAGTCTGTTTGTGTGTAAGAGATAGGGATGGACATGGGGGTGGGGAAAGGATTGTGTGGGCGGGAATAAGGTGATGGTATAGCGAGTTGAGATTTTGTATGGTGATTAGGGTTGGGTAGGGATTAAGGATTGTGGTGGGGGAGGGCGGGTAGAGGGTGAAGTGGTATTTGATGTTGCAATAGTTTTAATTGAGAAAGTACGGTGAATTTTTACTTGTGCATCCACACACAGTTGCTCTGATTTGAGGGCTAAACTGCCCTAATTTTTGCGGCAGAACACACGTATGGCCACTAAAATCCCTGCAAATAATTTCTTTTCAAGTAACCATCAATCCTAATTTCCAAATCATAAAAACATTAGGAAATGGGGGGGGGGGGGTGGTTATGCCCCCCTGAAACCACAAATGTTGTTAAAAACAAATCAAATACTACTACGCCAAAGGTCCTAGTTCTCTTTTCAAAAATCAATTACTCAATAACTATTGATTTGCGGCAAAAATAAAGGCCATATTCGTGTCCAAATGCAAAATACTACCAGAACAATAGTATATAAAACATGTACATGAGACGGGTGCGTGAGTTAAAAAAAAACCGAAAGTACTCACTCGTAGCAGAAACGTCCATAGGCAAGGTCTGACAACTGAGGTCTTTCCCACAAGGACAGGTGAAACCAAGCCAGATATCAACTACGTCGCAGTCTTCGCCTTCCTTAAGGTCGTTTTGGCACGTGTCTGAAGCATAACCCCCCCCCCCCAATAATTAGTACTGTAAAAATGATACTACTACTACTACTACTACTACTACTACTACTACTACTACTGCTACTACTACTACTAGTACTACTACCTCTCTCCTCTCTCTCTCTCTTTGTGTGTGTTTTCTCTTGTGATAACTCTAAATTTTGCTTCTTATAATATGACCTTCTTGTGTTCTAGCAGCTGTACAACTTTCACTAGAACTAAAACAAAAAACTACAGATCTTTTTCAGGGGAAATACTATGTTTATTTTAAGAATAAGCGAGGATGTCTGTTGCACATGACGTCAAAGTTGTCCTTTGTTGGTCCCAAACAGAGTGAAGACCCCGGATGTGTAAGGTAGGTCAAGTGAGCTCCAAATGGGGAGCTTGACTTGACCTTTACCCCCTGATGTTGACCTTTAGGAGACGTGAACTTCTCAATGTTTTTTCTTACACGTGCCTTTCGGGTACGACTTTAGAGAATCTCTCTTACCTCTCTTACCTGAGAAAGGAAATATCAGACACTGGGTCTAGATTCTAGTTTCATTTTCCGTGTCTGTTACGCCACTCTGTGTGTGTGTGTGTGTGTGTGTGTGTGTGTGTG